TTCCTTCCTTCCTTCCTTCCTTCCTTCCTTCCTTCCTTCCTTCCTTCCTTCCTTCCTTCCTTCCTTCCTTCCTTTCTTTTCCTTCCATCCATCCATCCATAACAGAATGGGTCCTTCCTTCCTTCCTTTTCCTCCCTCCCTCCCTCCCGCTTCCAGAGGGTGAATGACGTAATACTGATGGAGCGTTGTCTTTTCCTGCCCTGGCAGTGGTGCTGATTGGAGACTCCGGCGTGGGAAAGAGTAACCTCTTATCTCGTTTCACACGGAACGAATTCAACCTGGAGAGCAAAAGCACCATCGGGGTGGAGTTTGCCACCAGAAGCATCCAGGTGGACGGGAAGACGATAAAGGCCCAGATCTGGGACACGGCAGGCCAGGAGCGCTATCGCGCCATCACCTCTGCGTAAGGCTCGTGGGGGGGGCTCGTGGGTAGCTAACGGGGGTGGGGGTGGGGTTAAGATCATTACAGGTAACCCTGAGCGTATGACCACAATTGAGCCCCAAAATTTCCAATGCTAAAGCAAGACGGTTGTTAAGTGAATTTTGCCCCATTTTACGACCTTTCTTGCCACAGTTCTTAAGTGAATCATTTAAGTAACAGGGTTGTTAAGTGTGTCTCGCTTCCCCATTGACTTTGCGTGTCAGAAGGTCACAAAAAGTGAGCCTATCCCCCTGGGGAAACTGCACCTGTCCTAAATCCATGCCACTTTCTGAGCGGTTGAAGTTTGGTCATGTGACCTTGGGGACACCGTAACGGTCGCCAGTGTGAAAACCGGTCCTAAGTCACTTTTTCCCAGTGCCGTTGTAACTCCGAACCGTCACTAAACGAAGGGCTGTAAGCGGAGGATTACCAGGAGGTGCTCTTACGAGGTCTTAGGATGCCCGTTTGATGAATGCTCCTGGCTGCAAGGTCGTAGATGGGCCCCTCGTAGTTCGTGCTGTGGTTCAAGAGACGGTGTGGCGTCGGGCTTCCGGTTTGCGTAATCCTCTTGGAATCCTTTCAGCTACTACCGCGGTGCCGTGGGGGCCCTCCTGGTGTACGACATTGCCAAGCACCTGACCTACGAGAACGTGGAGCGCTGGCTGAAGGAGCTGCGGGACCACGCGGACAACAATATCGTCATCATGCTGGTGGGGAACAAGAGCGATCTGCGTCACCTGAGAGCCGTGCCGACGGATGAAGCCCGCGCTTTCGCAGGTTTGGGCTTTTTTTTTTACCCTTGAGGGCACAGAGCAGGGCAGGTTGCCCTCCGCAACGCGCCCGGAGACTTTGGGGGAAGTGGAAGGGAAAGTACCTGCCTGACAAAAGTTTTGTGCAGATTTCTGAAGGATTGTAGGGATTTTGAAGCACCCCATAAAGTCTAGACCAGGGGTAGGCAACCTTGGCTCTTTTATGATTCGTGGACTTCAACTCCCAGAATTCCTGAGCCAGCCATGATATAAAAAAGATGTAGAGACTGTAGAAAGAGTACAGAGAAGAGCAACAAAGATGATCAGGGGACTGGAGGCTAAAACATACAAAGAACGGTTGCTGGAATTGGGTATGTCTAGTTTAATGAAGAGAAGGACGAGGGGGGACATGATAGCAGCGTTCCAGTATCTCAGGGGCTGCCCCAAAGAAGAGGGAGTCAAGCTATTCTCCAAAGCGCCTGAAGGCAGGCCATGAAGCAACAGATGGAAACTCATCAAGAAGCAACCTAGAACTAAGGAGAAACTTCCTGACAGTGAGAACAATTAACCAGTGGAACTACCTGCCTCCAGAAGCGGTGAATGCGCCAACACTGGAAATTTTAAAGAAGAGACTGGACAGCCATTGGTCTGAAATAGTATAGGGTTTTTTGCCTGAGCAGGGGGTTGGACTAGATGACCTCCAAGATCCCTCCAACTTTATTATTATTATTATAGTTGCAGCAGAAAACGGAAGAGAGAGAACGCAGCAGCGGAGCCTTCCTTTTATACAGAGGCTCTTAAAGAGACACAGACCCTGCTGGCTCTTAAAGGGACATAGACCCTTGCTGAGTCATTCCTATCATTACATCTTACATTACATAAGCTGGTTAGCTATTAAATCATTACCTTGACACACAGCTTCCAAGTGGTCTCCCAGGGCAGCCCCGTGTATAGTATAGCATCGTAGCAGTCCACATGCACAAGGCAACTAAGCTACGAATGATCGTGAGAAGAGAAGTTGGAGAAGCTAAAGGCACCTGTGCTCTTGAGCAGAAACAAAATACTGTTTTGAAGTTGCCAAGCCTTAATATATCTTAGAATTAGTACGTTTTTGCGTTGACCCTTGTCGGGAGACAGCATCCCACTCTGCAATCCCTCACAGCTAAGTGGGTGAGACACTCTTGTCTCAGGTCCAGCCCTGATCTTTACGCCACAGGGGTTGAGACTTAACTATAATTGTAGTTTAAGTTACTAGTTTGGGGCAGAGTGTGGAAAACTGATTGTAGTATCAAATTGCACTAAGCCTCATGGGCTGAAATGGGGTGGGGTTTATGGATTTTTATGTTATAGAGTAGAGTATAATAGAATTAGAGCAGAATAGAATAGAATAGAATAGAATAGAATATAGAATAGAATAGAATAGAATATAGAATAGAGCAGAATTAGAATAGAATAGAATAGAGCAGAATAGAATAGAGCAGAGTAGAATAGAATAAAATAATAGAATAGAATATAGAATAGAACAGTCATAGAATAGAATAGAATACAGTAGAATAGAATTAGAATAGAATAAAATAGAATATAGAATAGAGCAGAATTAGAATAGAATAGAGCAGAATAGAGTAGAATAGAATAGAGCAGAGTAGAATAGAATAAAATAATAGAATAGAATATAGAATAGAGCAGAATTAGAATAGAATAGAGCAGAATAGAGTAGAATAGAATAGAGCAGAGTAGAATAGAATAAAATAATAGAATAGAATATAGAATAGAACAGAACAGTAATAGAATAGAATAGAATAGAATAGAATACAGTAGAATAGAATTAGAATAGAATAAAATAGAATATAGAATAGAGCAGAATTAGAATAGAATAGAGTAGAATAGAATATAGCAGAGTAGAATAGAATAGAATAAAATAATAGAATAGAATATAGAATAGAATAGAACAGTATTAAAATAGAATAGAATGCAGTAGAATAGAATTAGAATAGAATAGAGCACAATAGAATAGAATAATGAATAGAATAGAGTAGAATATAGAATAGACTTAGAGCAGAATAGAATAGAATACAGTAGAATAGAATTAGAATAGAATAGAGCACAATAGAATAGAATAATGAGTAGAATAGAATAATGAATAGAATAGAATAAAATAGAACAGAGCAGAGCAGGAAGGGACCTTGGAGGTCTTCTAGTCCAGCCCCCTGCTCAAGCAGGAGAACCTATACCCTCTCAGACAGGTGATTATTGCAGGCCACCTCTATGTGAGCAGCCATGTTTAATAAATAAAATGCTTCTCCGGTTCCAAACTTTGATTCTGCTTCCCTTTAGTTGGCAAAACTAAGCCAGTTTGAAAACATAACAAAACTTTATTTTGTTGTTCATAGTTAAAAGCTAGCTACAAACATCCATTTTGGAGGCAACAGCGACTCTCCTTCATGTAAAGCCGAAGAAACAGAGCTGTCTGATCCTCTCCAGGGTTGGAAGAGAGGCATGGGGCTAGCTAGAGGCTGACCCCGGCTGGTCATGCTGGCTATGTGTAACCCAGACCAGTTATTCACCTTCCCTTCAGTTAATTCATCATTTAGGGGGACATCCTGTGAAACATTCAACCGGCCTTCCCCAGTTGGAGGGCTCCTCTGCGCACCGAAGTAGCCCTTAAGATTGAAACGATATTTTTTTCCTCTCTCTTCGCCTTGCAGAAAAGAACAACCTGTCCTTCATTGAAACGTCAGCTCTTGACTCAACAAACGTAGAAGAAGCCTTCAAGAACATCCTCACAGGTAAAGGAACCTAAACTCACCTCCACTTGAAGGGTGGCCACTGTCCCACATGGCTACAAGGGTTTGGATTTTGCGATTGTACATTGCGCTGGTGCCGTGGTTAGAATGCAGTACTGCAGGGCTACTTGTGTTGACCGCCAGCACTTCGGCCGTTCGATCCTGACCAGGCTGAAGGTCGACTCGTCCTTCCGCCCTTCCCAGGTCCGTAAAACGAGGACCCAGATTGCTGGGGGGCTCATAGGCCGACTCTGTAAACCAAGGCTTTTTAACGAGTGGTACGGGTACCCCCTGTGGTACATTGGCACCTGGCAGGTGGTACGCCACCATCCTAGAAAAGTGATAGCGGGGGAGAAGAATGAGCTGAACCGGTGGCAGCACCGCACAAGCCTGAGCGAGAGACGGCTGGAGCTNCATCTTGTATACAGTTTTCTCTCTTCCGTTGGATAAAATACGATTCACACCAATGTTTAGGATTAGCTCCTGGTCTAACTGAATGGCAGGTAGAAAGACAGAATGTATTTGCCATGCTAAATTTCCAGAAACCAAATTAACCCTCCATTTAGTACAGGGGTATGCAACCTTGGCTCTTTTATGACTCGTGGACTTCGACTCCCAGAATTCCTGAGCCAGCTATGCTGGCTCAGGAATTCTGGGAGTCGAAGTCCACGAGTCATAAAAGAGCCAAGGTTGCCTACCCCTGGTTTAGTATGATGGGGGAAAGAGGAGAAGGTGTGTTATATCTAAGTGGGACGTCAAGCATGTGTAAAGTGGAGAACGGGCCTTGACCATTGATACAGATATAGTCCTTTACTTATGCCCATTCCTTTAGTGACTGTTCAACATGACAACGGTGTTCAAAAAGGGATTTGTGACTGGTCCTCGTGCTTACGACCGTGGCAGCGTCCTTGTGGTCACGTAATTGTGATTCAACGGCGTGGCAATTGCTGTTGTTATTGTTGGGGATCTCCCATAACTGTCCCAGTTTCTTGGGAAAATGAACTGCCCATCCCTGGAGTAGGGAGAGCGAGGGGCCTTGGGTTAGTACAGCTTCCTGTACACAGATGTTGAGGTAGATATGGTGGGAAGCTGGGGTGTGGGGCCCATCATAGGAAAGTAGAGTCAGTATCTGAAACCAGTTCCACCTTCGCTAGAAGCCTATGGAAAGTCTCCATTATCCAAGCAATAATAATAATAATAATAATAATAATAATAATAATAATAATAATAATAATAATAATAATAATAATAATAATAAGATGATGATGATGATGATGATGATGATGATGATGATGATGATGATGATGATGATGAAAGGGACCTTGGAGGTCATCTAGTCCAACCCCCTGCTTATGCAGGTAACCCTATACCATTTCGGACAAATGGCTGTCCAGTCTCTTCTTAAAAACTTCCAGTGTTGGAGCATTCACCGCTTCTGGAGGCAGGTTGTTCCACTGGTTAATTGTTCTCACTGTCAGGAAGTTTCTCCTTAGTTCTAGGTTGCTTCTCTCCTTGATCAGTTTCCATCCGTTGCTTCTTGTCCTGCCTTCAGGCGCTTTGGAGGATAGCTTGACTCCCTCTTCTTTGGGGCAGCCCCTGAGATACTGGAACACTGCCATCATGTCCCCCCTCGTCCTTCTCTTCCTTAAACTAGACAGACCCAAGTATAAATCCTTCCCTTCCCCACCATCCGGTCAGAGCTGAAGAAGCTTCTGGGATGAGAAGCGAAACGTCTTCAAGGGACGTTTCAGCTGCCTCTTGAAAAAGCACCTTTGGGACAGTTCCACCTTGCTGCTGCTGCCCAGCCTTCAGCCTTAATCCCAGGTAACCAAATGCTCAGGGGCCCCGGCTTCCACCTGGTGTTGGGTGGGCCCAGATGGTGGTGCTGCCTTCTCAGAAGGAAATCCCCTTCGGGAGCACCAAACCCAGGGCAGGGAGCTGGGGTGGCAGTTGTCCCCCAAGAAGCCCCCAGTGGCTTCCAGAGGCACCTGTGCTGGAGGTAAACACCTGTTCGGTCCCGTGGTTGGAGCGGTGGACTCCAGGGAGCCAAGAGTTGTGTGCTGTGGCAACATCCCTGCTTGATTCCGTCGCTGTGTTGGCCGTGGGATTCCCCCAGGGCGGAGAATCCTGGAAGGCCTTAACCTGCCCTCACGGGGCATCGAGTCTGGTAGCCACCTTAGCAACTGTGAACGGTGCAGCTTTCGGTCTTCCTGCTCAGAGTCTCCTCTCACGATCGTTCGTAGCTTAGCTTGCCTTGTGCGCGTGGACTGTTACAATGCGCTGTACGTGGGTCTGCCCTGGGAGACCACTTGGAAGCTTTAGCCGGCCCAGAATGGCAGACGGTACTCAGGGTGTGGTCCTCAATGGAACCGCATCTACATGGAGGGAAGTGTGTAGTGGGGTGCCCCAGGGCTCTGTTCTGGGCCCA